TCTCAGCCTGTCCTGTGCCCTGCGCTCCCCAGGCAGTGCTGCTGGGACCCTCCTGCTCCCTGGCAGAAGTTACCAGGAATAACAAATTACCAGAGAAAGCGTTTAGCGCTGAGCCATCACCCTGGCTGAGGGCATGGAATGAAGGCGCATCTGAGGCTGGCAGGACGTAGGCAGGGCAGGGATACCCTCTGAGGAGCCTCTGCCAGCAGCCACCGAGCCGTTTGGCAAGCGCTGCCTGCTCCTCCAGTCGGGAAGCAAAAATAATTACAGCCTCTCCTCAATCCAGCAATTATCTCCAGTGCTGGCGTTGGCAGGCGAGGGATGCGCAGAGAAAGCTGCTGCTGCTCTCGGGGAGTGGGGCAGGCACCAGAGAGGCAAACCTGGGGCGCAAAACCAGATGGGGAGCACGGGGAGGTGGATAAATCCTGACGTTCTGTAAGGAAGGAGCAGGAAGGTGCCCCAGCGTGGTGACCCGGCTGCGAGGCAGCACCGGGGCTTTTTCCCTGTGGGGAATCACCTGAGCTTGGCCAGCCTGTGCTGCAGACCCCAGCCTCGGCACAGCTCTCCGGGAGAGAGCCTGCAAAGAAAGGAAAACAAACAGAAGTGACCAAAACCTCCTGCTGGACAAGGGGACGCTGTGAAATGGGGCTGGGATCAATGTGTGTCGGAATCTGTAGGTATTGATGATTCTGAGATTGTAGAAAGTCTCTGTCTGTCAGCCCCGCTGCCAAAGCAGAAGCCATAATTGGTCTGTGCTGTTTCAGGGTTGTTTATTCTGTTTATCTCTAACATGTTCTGCTGCCCTGCCGCAGCTCTGTCCTGCAGGGCAGCGTGTGGGGCTCTGCCCTCAGTGGGATGGTACAAACATTAAATACCACAAACTACCTGTGCTGGATTTACAATAATGTGCCAATGTAACATCCCTCAGTGGGATGTTACAAACATTAAATACCAGAAACTACCTCTGCTACATTTACAATAATGTGCCGATGTAACATTATATACCAGAAACTACCTGTGCTATATTTACAATAACGTGACAATGTAACACCCCTCAGTGGGATGTTACAAACATTATATACTTAAAACTACGTGTGCTGTATTTACAATAACGTGCCAATGTAACATCCCTCAGTGGGATGTTACAAACATTAAATACCACAAACTACCTGTGCTGGATTTACAATAACGTGCCAATATCTGTCACCTACGTTGGACAGTGTGTCCCCAGCCTGAACCAACAGAAAAATGCCAACACCACAGTGAAACATGGAGGGCATGAAGAAGGAGGAAAAGGACAAGGCACACCCAATTCCTCCATCTTGTCCCCTTTGGACCCCTCATCTAGAATCCTAAAATTTTACTTTTGCATCCGTGCCACACTTAATTATTACTTATATCAAACACTCAGAGCTTGTAATTCATCCTGTAAGATTGAAAACTCCTCTCCATGGACAGAGATCACAGCCAGTGTCTCTGGGGGCTCTGTCCAGGGGGGTTCCTGACCCCTGCCAGGGTCCCAGGGCAGCCAGAGGGAAGCCCTGGGTTCCCACATGCGCACACAGAGGCGAGTCCTGCTGTGCCTGGCTGAGTCCAGGCCTTGCACAGGGCAGGTCTCCTCTCCCCTTTCCCCCCGTAAACCGCCGAGTGTTTTAGGGAAGCACTTCCAAGTGTCCAGCTGCTCGTGGGCACAGGGATTTGCAGAACACATCAGGCTGGAATAATTTTCTTCCCTCCCTGCGTGACGCTTACCTCTGTCTAAGACCCCAGAACCAGAATTAGGCTGTGTCTGGTCTGGGAGCAGAGTTGGGAAACAGGCTCTGTGTCTCGGCCTGGGAAACTGTACAAGATCTGTCTAGGTCTAGGAAATGGAACAAGGTCGGAATGAGATAATAAGGATGAGCACATCTGTCGCTATAGGACACGTGAAAGCACAACGCGACCTACCTTCTATTTGCAAGGTAAAAGAGAGAGTTTATTTTCTGACTCTGACTTTTCTACTTTTCCAAAGGTGACAGTGGATTGGAGGGTGAATGGGCCACCTCTCCAAAGACATTGGACAAAGCACTAGTACATCAAGTTTCTCCACCCCCATGAAGGAATGTAAAACAATATGTTGTTTATAGAAATTGTGTGGGAAAGTTTTGTAGCAGAGTGTAAACTTAGAAGGCTTTAGAAAATCTTAAGAATCAGGGCAACACATATCCTTGGAGATTTGCTCGTACAAGAACAGGCTGTGTGACAAGGTGTGCCCAGAAAGGATGGGATGCACCATGATGACGTGACTAGAGATGAGAAACTTGGCTTAAGGAACTTGGCTGTAGCTGTAAATGCACTTAGGCTAAACAGAACAAACACCTTTGTAAAACCAATGAGAGCTGCTGATGACTTTGTAGCAAATCCTATATAAACCGACAGGATTTTTGAATAAATGAAGCTTGCTTATCAATCATGCTGATTGTGCTTGTCTTCACCTGAGGCTTCACCCGTGGGTCTGCAGGTGGGAGCCCTCGCTTGTGTCACTGCTGCCTGGGGAAATGTCACCGTCCCTGGGCCAGCAGGGTTTTAAAGGGAGTGTTTCAGCACTAAGTTGCCATCCTGCCCCCATCCATCCATCCATCCCTGTCGCTCCAAGAGCAGCGGGTGCGTTCACGGAAAGGTGAAAGCACTGCTGGCTCCGTCCCAGCCCCGCTCACAGCCAGGTGGGCGCTGATCCTGTGGCTGAACTCCCCTCGGCACAGGACCTGCCCAGGCTCAGCTGTCCCGCTGACCCCCACTTCCCTCCTGAAATGCCTGATGGACTCCCAGAAATGTCCCAGGAGTTTGGCATCTCTGGTAGACACAAACGCTTCACGCAGCGTTGGCTTACACAGGAATTATCTCTATTTTTCACACTAGCCCCCGTGCTATCAAAGATGCCCTTGGGTATATTCCCTCCAAAGCTTCAAAAAATTCATACAAACTTCCTAAAACACCTAATTTTCACTGCAACATTAGTGAACGAACCATTCAGAGATCCTTTTGTTACACTTTATTCCACCACAAGCCAAGTCCAGGCAGGGAAAGATGCTGTACGAAAAGGCTGTGTTTTCTAAGACAGAATCTTTTTTATTTTAATAAATAAAAACCTACTCTGAATTTAGCAACAGGATCATTCTAAACCAGCTTTCCCAGCACCTAGATGGCAGTTTTAAACACTTCAGAAAGTGAAGCTGCACTTTGAGAGGACTCCATTCACCCGGACATTGTGCTGCTTCAAAATCAAACTCTGCCTTTCAAAATGTCCAAGGCAACAATTCACGTATGGCGCGTTTGTTCTCTTCTATTCCTCTCAGAACCAGCTGAAACAGAAAGAACATTTCGGAGCTGCAATGCCTGCATGCCACACTGCACAGTGTTCTCACTGCAAGCTCTCAAAAACTGTAGATGGTGGCATGAAATTGCTCCAAGGGACAGAACTGATCATTTGCAGTCCAGCCTCCAAAAACCCCACTTGTAAAATTCACTGACGCTGTGCTGCGGGTTTGCTCTGGGATCTGGGAGGGATTTGCACAGGAAAAGCCTTCCAGGATGTCCCCACAGCCCCCTTTAAAAGCAGCTGAAGTTATTGAACATAACAATTGTTTTTGTTATGGCAATGGTGAAGCTCTGCGATGGCGTAACAGCCGCTGAGCCCCAGCACGATTAAAATAAACTGCAGCAAAAATAGTCACCTATTTGTGACTGAGCAAGAACAATCACCGGGCCAGCAGCAGAACCATTGGTGGCATCTTTTTGACATTTGTGGGAGTTTTAAAATCACCTTCCCCGTGGGTTCCCGGGCTGTGGCCGGTGGGTGGTCGTAGTGGAAGGGCAGATCCTGACCAGGAGCAGCTCTGCAGTTTCAGGGAGGGATTTTTCTGCTCCCCATGTCGTTCTTTAAATAAAATCCGGGCCCACATCTCTGAGTCCAGGGCGTGCACTGTGTCTCTTTCAGCAAATGCTGAAATTTACTGAAAATTTACTGAAACACCTGATGGGGATCTCGCACTGAAACCAATCTTTGAACTGCATGAGACACAGAGGATGACAGACTCTAAATTCCCTCCCTGTGCCCCTGAGTGCTCAGGCAGCCTGAACCTGCCGAAACAAAGCTGGGCGAGAAGCAGCCCAGCAACAGGTAACCCCAGAATGCAAATGGGATGTGATGTGATCCAGGTCTTCGTGTTCACTCTTCAGGGTCTTTTCCAGCCTGAATGAATTCTGTGATTTGCAGAAGAAATCTAGACGCCAGTACTGGAGTGAACGCTTCACAATAAAAATAGCAATAATTTGTAAAACAATTACACACTGCCACGCAAGGAAGGCTCAGGCCTTACATTTTATTTCTGCAAATGGGAGGCAGATCTGGCTTGTGATCAGCAAAGCACACTCAGGTAACAAATTAAAGCCATCCCTCTTATCCCCTTTTCCCAGCACGTGATGCTGAGGTTTTAGAACGACATTAAATAAGAGCTCACAAAGCGAGATGGAAAATCCAGAGTGGCGGAAACGCGCTCTGTTTGCTCGTTACTGAGTCCGTTTTACACTTTAATTGTGGCCCCACAGGACAACACTCAAGAGCAAGACCGTTTCTTTCATGGCCACAACAAACAGTCCTGCAGGATTCTGGGCAGTGGGGCAGTGGGGCAGTGGGGCAGTGGGGAGTGGGGCAGTGGGGCAGTGGGGCTGTGGGCAGTGGGGCAGTGGGGCAGTGGGCAGTGGGGCTGTGGGCAGTGGGGCTGTGGGCAGTGGGCAGTGGGGCTGTGGGCAGTGGGGCAGTGGGCAGTGGGCAGTGGGGCTGTGGGCAGTGGGGCAGTGGGGCTGTGGGGCAGTGGGGCAGTGGGCAGTGGGGCTGTGGGGCAGTGGGGCAGTGGGCAGTGGGCAGTGGGGCTGTGGGGCTGTGGGGCTGTGGGGCAGTGGGCAGTGGGCAGTGGGCAGTGGGCTGTGGGCAGTGGGGCTGTGGGCAGTGGGGCTGTGGGGCTGTGGGCAGTGGGCAGTGGGCAGTGGGGCAGTGGGGCAGTGGGCAGTGGGCAGTGGGACCATGGTCAGTGGGATCACAGTCAGCAGGACCGTGGTCAGCAGGACAGTGGTCAGCAGGACAGTGGTCAGCAGGACTGTGGTCAGCAGGACAGTGGTCAGCAGGACAGTGGTCAGCAGGACTGTGGTCAGCAGGACTGTGGTCAGCAGGACTGTGGTCAGTGGGCAGTGGTCAGCGGGATCATGGTCAGCAGGGCCGTGGGCAGTGGGATAATGGTCAGCAGGACTGTGGTCAGCAGGACTGTGGTCAGCAGGATCACGGTCAGCAGGACTGTGGACAGTGGGATCACGGTCAGCAGGACTGTGGGCAGTGGGACCATGGTCAGTGGGACCATGGTCAGCAGGCTCATGGTCAGCAGGACTGTGGTCAGTGGGATCACGGTCAGCAGGACCGTGGGCAGTGGGACTGTGGTCAGTGGGACTGTGGTCAGCAGGACTGTGGTCAGTGGGCAGTGGGCAGTGGTCAGTGGGATCACGGTCAGCAGGACTGTGGGCAATGGGATCATGGTCAGCAGGACCGTGGGCAGTGGGACTGTGGGCAGTGGGACCATGGTCAGTGGGATCACGGTCAGCAGGACTGTGGTCAGCTGGAGGACCGTGGGCAGTAGGATCATGGTCAGCAGAACCGTGGTCAGTGGGACCGTGGTCAGCAGGACTGTGGTCAGTGGGTCACGGTCAGCAGGACTGTGGTCAGTGGAATCATGGTCAGCAGGACTGTGGTCAGTGGGATCATGGTCAGCAGGACTGTGGGCAGTGGGATCATGGTCAGCAGGACCGTGGGCAGTGGGATCATGGTCAGCAGGACTGTGGTCAGTGGGATCACGATCAGCAGGACTGTGGACAGCAGGTTCATGGTCAGCAGGACTGTGGTCAGTGGGATCACGGTCAGCAGGACCGTGGGCAGTGGGACTGTGGGCAGTGGGACTGTGGTCAGCAGGACTGTGGTCAACAGGGCCATGGTCAGTGGGATCACGGTCAGCAGGACCATGGTCAGCAGTCTCATGGTCAGCAGGACCATGGACAGCCAGCCATGGGCTGCCAGGGCCGGTTGGATCAGCTCCAGAGCGGGGGCAGCTGCTCCTGCCCTTGGAATGTCCCCCACCACCAGCGAAAGTGCCGAGCTTTAGTTGAGGTATATCATCATCTGCAACACCCCAGAAACCAAACCTCTGTCTCTGTCCTGTTTCCCCTTCCTAATCCGCTCTGGGGGACGTGCAAACGCTCACAGCACAGAGCAGAGACAAACAGCTTTGCCTTTTGAGGTTTTCTCTGTCAACTTTGCCTTCCAAATGCCTTCCCCACCCCTGCAGCTGGACTTGCACCCCATCCCACCCTTGCAGCTGGCTGCCTTCACACCGGTGCTGCAGATGGGCTGGAGCGGTGGCATTTCCATCACCTCGATGTGAGATCTTCACACAGGAACATGTCAAGGCCTGCCACAGCTAACCCTGGTCCCAATGAGAACAGAAACCAGTAATACAGCAAACCCTGCTGCTGGTTATCGGAGCTCACACGCGTTTCTTCACCTCTCAGAGCGCTCAGCGGATTGCTTGTTAAATGGTAGAAATAATTCACACAGGAGCAGTTAAATATGGGCCTTGCAGCACTAAATACAGCAGTTTCTCGTGTACAAACGCCAGCTGTGCCGGGCAGCACAGCAGCAGCACGGTGAGGAAAGCAGAGGCGGTCTTGTATGGCACTGTTTACAGATCTCCCATTTAAAAAGCTGCCGAGTTGGGTTAAATATAAGTATAGAATATTTCTTCCCTATACAAACTCTTGTTAGCTGATTCATTCGTTATTAAGGTGCTCAAAAGTGTGGATGAAAACAGAAGGTACAGTAGATCAGCTGTGTCTTCATCTACTTACACACAGTTGCCTGCTGGCACCAGGAACTCCCACAGAAGATGGGAAGCTCATGCCACAGGAACTGCTGCTTTCTTCACGAGATCTTTGTCAGGAGGAAAGCCTGGAGTGCTTTGACTCCTTTTTCAGCAGCAGAGTGGGTGGGAGCTGAGCCCTGGCTGGGTCCCTGGCAGTGTCACTCCTCATTCCCAGCTCCCAGCGCCTCCCAGCCCTCCCATCCCGCTGGGATTTGCTGGTCTAGCGGCAGCTGTCCGAGCACCAGTGCACTGAAGTGCATCACGCGGGCCCTCCGAAGCGCTCGGAAAGCTCAGATCCCCGTGCATCCCCCGCCGCACCCCGTGCAACCGAAGGGAAGGTTTTGGTGTGAGAAACCGCTAACCAGCAAAATGCACTTAGCAAAAATTTTGTCTTCTCCTCAGAAAAAAATAAACAAATCCCCAGCGGCCCGTACTTTGTAGGTCAAATTTCTTCCCCATTAATGTTCTCAGAGAAGAGTTATTTTTCTGTCTGGTGGCCAAACTCCACCTCTAGTTCCATTCTCTGCTGACTGACTGTTGGCATCACTTTATTCCGTACCTGTACTCGCACAGGCGCCTCGGAGCGGCTCAGAGTTCGGCGTTTTGGGACCCTGTCCAACCAGGAGGGTATCTGATCGCACTGAAAATGTTAATTGCGTCCTTGTCATTTCAAGTTGCTATAGAAAAAGAAAGGAAACGGAGTCTATTTGACTACTGTTTGCAAACCTACCATGTACTGTCGTTCTTCCCCTCGTACATTTAAGTTTCAAACAGGTCCCAGAGATCGCAAGGCAAGATTGTTAAGGCAGTGTAAGAAACTCAGGGTTTCACTCGCACCTCCGGATCCCCTTGGAAGCGCTTCCAAGGCATCACAAGGGGCGTGTGGTTTGTGCTTGCCTTTCCCAGAAAAGGCGTTTGGTAGTGTGGAAAGGGGACGCTCCGTGACACCCGGCAGCGGCCGCACCGCCCCGGAGGAAAAGGGGGTGCAGCGGGGCCCGTGGGGCTCACCACCGCTCCTTCTGGTCCCCGGCGTGCTCCGAGATGCAGGCCCCGTTGATCTCGTTGAGCTTGTTGTCCGGAAGATCCTCGGGCTTCGCGCAGAGCTTCAGCGCCCTGGAGATGAAGACGTCCAGGTCGAAGTCGGGGTCGGTCTCGCTGCTCACCTCCGCGGGCTCCTTGTGCAGGCGGTGAGGAGAGGAGGGCAGGCTGCGCTCCTGCATCTCCGGCAGCGAGCTGGGGCACTCCAGCCCCGCCTGCGTGCTCTTCACCCACTGGGCGATCTCCAGAAACAGGTTGGATGGCTCCTCTTCCAGCGACAGCTCGGCTGCGGGGGCTATGGTCGCCCTTTTCCAGTGGGATAAATCCAGGATTAGCTTGGGCTCTGAGTAGTGGTGGGGCTTACTGTCCCTCCACAGCAACTTGTCCAGGTAGGAGGGCGATCCCACTTTGTAATCGCACGACTTCCCGCAGTCGGCGTCGAACACGCGGTCCATGGACGAGTGGGACAGCTCCAGGAACCGCTCCGAGCTGCTCTGGGAGTATTTCCGCGGGTCCACCTGCGCCTCCTCCGCCGTGGACTCGGAGCCTGCGCGGGGGTCCCGCTGCACCTCGTCCATCTCGTGGTGCTTGTCGTGCCTCCAGTCCAGGTCGGAGGAGAGGCTGATGTGGTACCTGCCAAAGACATGAGCCGTGAGACACGGGCAACATCAGTGCCCAAACCAGCCCGAGACTGCTGCTGCTCGCCCGGCCTTCTGCTCGCTGATTTAACGTCTTACCGACAGCACAGATAACCTTCTTCTGCGTTAAAATGCCCGGGGGTCAGTAATTTTTATTTATCAAGAGCCTGGGATGCAGGGATAAAGCGCAACAACCAAACCAAGTGGCCCCTTCCTTCAGATGCCGATCATCTCCCCTCCCCTTGGGACTAAAACATGATTAGCACCAATCTTAACACCAATTAACAACCAATCTACCCCTCAGCCCACAGATCACAGCAAGAGCCCTTCCTGTTTGGTGACAGAACAGTAAAAGACCTAAAACTGAACCAGAGGACACAGTCTCCAGCTGTGCCAGGGGTTGGATATTAGGAAAAAGTTTTTTACAGAAATGGTGATAAAGTTCTGGGATGGCTGGCCAGGGAGGTGGTGGAATCACCATCCCTGGGTGTCTTTAACAAAGCCTGGACGTGGCACTGGGTGCCAGGGTTGAGTTGAGGTGTTGAGGCTGGGTTGGACTCGATGATCTTGAAAGTCTCTTCCAACCTGGTGATTCTGTGATTCTGTGCATTCTGTGACCAGCGTCACCAAGGCTGGCATCACCAGCTGGTTCTGATGTCAAGGACCCAGAGCATTCCTGGAGGGTCACCATGCTCGGTGACAGCTCCTCCAGCCAACTCTCGGGCAAAGAGTCTAATGACAGTGAGGGCAAGGAGAGGGTTCCTTTGGGGGATTTTTTCAGTGCTGGTGAAATCCACTGGATCGGGAATGGGAGGAGGTTCATTGCTCTGCAGAGAGGAGCAGTGCTCAGAAATCCCCAGCCCACAGCCAGAAGGAGCTCTACAGAAAACTGAACCTCATTAATTCCTATCTGATAATTTTGCCCTACCTGCTCCAGTGCTGGGACTGGCCCAGTGGCTGGGGCAACCACCTAGGACGTGAGAGACCTCAGCTCAAGGCTTTCAGCTGTTCTAAACTTCCAGTGCAGCTTCCAGCAAACCATTTAGACATCAACACAATTCAGGATTTTTTACAAGGCCCCCAGATCTGTGGCATCTGGGGCTTGTGCACCTTGAAAAGTGGTGAATGTAGCACAGGGCCAAATCAGGGCCAAATCAGGGCCAAATCAGGGCCAAAATCTTGTCCCCAAAAGGTACAGGAATTATAGTATCTTGTAACCTGTGCTATAGGGACAGAGGGCAGAGGTAAGGGCTGCAGAGCCACTTAAACCACATGAAGACAACCCGGGCTGTGAATAAAACCAAGAGCAGAAAGGTGCTCAGCCACTGGGGTGTGCAGGCTCCGCTTCTGGCCCCTGTGGAACCCAGGATGAGCCTCTGGGTGGGTTCGGCGAGGCGCCAGCTGGGGCTGGAATCCCAGCGTGGCATAAAGAAGGAAAACAGGAGTCCTTCCTGGGCCTGGAACGTGGCTGCTGGAATCCAGCCACGAGCACTCAGAGACTCAGCAGCCCAGCCCTGGCCCCGTACCTGTCCCAGTTGGACATCTGGCTCTGGTTGGCCTCCATCAGCAGGATGTCGTCGATCTCGTCCTCGATGCGGAACGGGTGCTGGGACACCGGCTCGTCCTCGGGGCAGGAGTACGGGCTCATGTAGGGGTGCTGCAGGCCCATCTCGGCCGTTAATCGATCCATGGGGTTAAATGTCAGTATTTTCTCCAGGAAATCAATCGCTGCGAGGCAGAGACAAACAAGCTCACCCATTCCTCAAAAGCAGTAACTGCTGCCTTGCCACGACGAGCCTCGCCAGCCCCCTGAACCAGTCCCCCTGCAGTAAGGGATGAGTTAAAGGCCACCCCCAGGTGGATCAAACTGGGCATTTCTGTCCTTGCTGCGTCCCCCACGGGAGCTGTGAGTTGGCAGGGGAGCAATGCTGCGATGTGAGAGCACCCCAGCACCTGTGCAGGACAGCGGGCGTGCATCACCCCACACTGAGCTGACATCTCACCCCAAAACAGCCTTCGGGTCTGGGATTTGGGGTCTGGGATCTGATTCCACACCCCCAGATCCATTAGACAAGCACGTTGCCTTTCAGACAACTGATTTCACGTCTTAGGTACAATCTGCACGAAGCAGATTGTATTTACTGCAATTTTTAAAAGCCTTTGGCGTGACTGATGCCGCGGAATTATTTCACCCATTAATGTCTGAAGAATTCTGAGTGGATAAAATAATTTTAGAAAGACCGTGGCGCGTGAGCTCTTTCAGTGATGACAGGAAATTTAAGTGCAATTAAACCTAAATGTGGAATGTTTGCTGTGATTGCTTTGATAATTCCTTCTGCTGAGGTTATGTGTAAAGGTAAAATCCTGTCACTGCAGTTGTTGCTTGTTCAGTTGTTCATGGGAAAGTCCCTTTGAGTTCAGGCAACAAAAATAGGAATAATGCCTTTTTTCAGACACAGTTTCGTATTGAAACCTTCAGGAACATCCCCGTTAAAGATGTAATTGTGTGAATGGGACAGTTTCTGTAGGGGCAGGACCTCTCAGCAGAAAGGACAGCCACATGTGCTGCCCCAGAGCTTAAACATTAACCAATTTACAACTGTCTCCTGCGAGATTACCTCACGAGATTAAGCAGGAAGGAATCAACTGCTCCATAAGGTCACAACAACACATTACAGGCTAAATATTGTGATGCACTGCGGGTCAACGAGGCAGGAAAATGACGATGAATTGTGTAAGGGGTGCGGGTGACCTTTCCTGCTGCAGCCATGGCAGGGAATAAATCTGCTGCTGCTTGCTGGAGGCTGACACGGCTGCTCTGGGGTTGGGGATATCACGGCACCAGGGCTGGGGATATCATGGCACCAGGGCCGGGGATGTTGTGGCACCAGGGCCAGGGATATCGTGGCACCAGGGCCAGGGATATCGTGGCACCAGGACCGGGGATATCATGCAGGGATATCGTGGCACCAGGGCCGGGGATATCGCGGCACCAGGGCCGGGGATATTGTGGCACCAGGGCCGGGGATATCATGGCACCAGGGCCAGGGATATCGTGGCACCAGGACCGGGGATATCGCGGCACCAGGGCCGGGGATATTGTGGCACCAGGGCCGGGGATATCATGGCACCAGGGCCAGGGATATCGTGGCACCAGGACCGGGGATATCATAGCACCAGGGCCGGGGATATTGTGGCACCAGGGCCGGGGATATCGCGGCACCAGGGTCGGGGATATCATGGCACCAGGGCCAGGGATATCATGGCACCAGGGCCGGAGATATCATGGCACCAGGGCCGGAGATATCACGGCACCAGGGCCAGGCACGGCACGTCCCAAATGAAGAGCCACACAGCAAACGTGAGCCGAGCCTGGTCCTGACCTCCTCCCAAAAGCTGGTGGCCAGGCCTGGTTTAAGCCTCAGAAGGAGCTCAGGAGAGCACTGTCGGTGTTCCTGTCTGTAACACCTCAGGATCCAGGGTGCTGGTCCAGAAAAGGAAGGAAAAGCCTGTCCCTCTCTGCGCTGCACAACCGTGCTCAGGCCAGCACAGCGAGGAGGAGACGGGGCTTGGGAAGGACCTCTGGGCTGAGCCCTCACTCACAGCTCAGGGGGACACACGGGAAGCCAGGGATGGACCTTCAAAGGGCTTTGGAAGTGTGTTCCACCCTTAGGAGCCAGCTGTGAGCAATATACAGCACCATGAGTGGTGCGGCAGGGCCTGGGGACAGGCCGCCTGTGAGGGGACAGCAGTGGGGATATTATAAAAATTTTTCACTGAAAGAATAATAAAATACTGGAATTGTCTTCCTAAGGAGGTAGTGGAATCACCATTTCTGGATATGTTTAAAAAAAGACTGGACTTGGCACTTGGTGCTATATCCAGTTGCGTTGTTGGGGCGTAGGTTGGACTTGACGATCTTAGAGGTCTTTTCCAACCTCATTATTCTGTGATTCCGTGATGTCTGAGCTACAGCCAGGGATGTGCATCCCCTTCTCCAGCCTTTCCCAGGCCTTAGGCCTGAGACAGCTGCTGTGACACTCCAAGGAGAAGCCCCACCGAGCCAGCGGCCACCACGGTACCTTCACTGTCCACCTCGGGCAGCAGCTTGCGCAGCGGCTTCCGCACCTCCCACGTGCTGTTGATGAACATGGGCATCACCTTCAGCAGCTCCTCCTTGTCCTCCTGGTGGATAACGGGGATGGTCTCCAGGATCAGCTGCATCTGCTCCAGCTCGTGGCCCCCTGCACAGGAAGAAGGGAGCGGGGTTATGTGGGAATCCAGGGCTTCCCTCTGGCTGCCCTGGGACCCTGGCAGGGGTCAGAACCCCCCTGGACAGAGCCCCGAGAGACACTGCCTGTGATCTCTGTCCATGGAAAAGAGTTTTCAATCTTACAGGAAGAATTACAAGCTCTGAGTGTTTGATATCAGTAATAATTAAGTGTGGCACGGGTGCAAAAGTAAAATTTTAGGATTCTAGATTAGGGGTTCAGAGGGGACAAGATGGAGGAATTGGGTGTGCCTTGTCCTTTTCCTCCTTCTTCATGCCCTCCATGTTTCACTGTGGTGTTGGCATTTTTCTGTTGGTTCAGGCTGGGGACACACTGTCCAACGTAGGTGACAGATATTGGCACGTTATTGTAAATCCAGCACAGGTAGTTTGTGGTATTTAATGTTTGTACCATCCCACTGAGGGCAGAGCCCCACACGCTGCCCTGCAGGACAGAGCTGCGGCAGGGCAGCAGAACATGTTAGAGATAAACAGAATAAACAACCTTGAAACCAGCACAGACCAATTATGGCTTCTGCTTTGGCAGTGGGGCAGACAGACAGAGACTTTTACAATCTCAGAATCATCAATACCCACAGATTCCGACTTCCAGGCTCTCCTGGATGTCACCAAGAGCTCCGTGGTGGATTTCCAGAGGAGCCACGCCGTTGAATCCCGGCCTGCCAGGAGGGCTGGCTGGAAATGCTGTGTCCTCAGAGGCTGTGCAGGAACCCAGCACGTCCCTCTGGCTGCCCTGGATGTCCCCAGACTCTGGCAGGGGCTCGGAGACCTTGGCACAAAGTCACAAACACCTGTGCCTTCCATTTTAGCCTGTGGGAAAAGCTGCCAACTCTGTGTGAGGAATTACAAACCACAAGGGTTTGAGTGGTGTGATGGAATTAACACAGGGTGAAAAAGCAGAATTTTGGGGGTTTAAGGGGACAAGTTGGAGGGATTTGAGCGTGTTCTGGCTTCCTTCTCCTTCTCCTTCTCCTTCTCCTTCTCCTTCTCCTTCTCCTTCTCCTTCTCCTTCTCCTTCTCCTTCTCCTTCTCCTTCTCCTTCTCCTTCTCCTTCTCCTTCTCCTTCTCCTTCTCCTTCTCCTTCTCCTTCTCCTTCTCCTTCTCCTTCTCCTTCTCCTTCTCCTTCTCCTTGCCCTCCATGCCTTGCTGTGCTGGTGACACTTTTCTGTTGGTTTAAGGCACAGACACACTGTCCAACATAAATTATAGATATTGGCACGTTACTGTAAACATGGCACAGGTAGTTTTTGGTATAAAATGTGAATTCCACCTGAGACAGAGAACAGAATGCCATGGCCAAGCTGCCGGACAGAGCTCAGCAGGTCAGAGAAAGAATGTTATAGCTAAGGAACAATAAACAACCTTGAAAAGCCGACCCTACACGTTTCAAACATCTTTGGCTGCACAGGCTAAGAAACAAAGACTTTTACAATCTTAAGGGCATCCCAACACCCAGACCCCGAAAAGGCAGGACCAGCCACTGAGGCAGCATGGGGCAGCCAAAACAATGGGGTTTTTTTGGGCTACCAAGCCCCTGCTGTCCCAATCCTGCATTTCAGGCTGCTCCAGTCGTGGGCAGGACACGTCTGATCCCAACAAGGAGAGCTGAGCACTTCTGATCAGCCAGCAGGGAGGTGGGAGAGGCCACAGGAGATGGGGACCTCAGCCCTGAGGCAGCCCTGCTCCTGTGGCAGTCCTGGCGTTTGCAGGGGCTCCCCTCCACAGCCCAGAGCTCCCCGTGTGTTGGAAATGCAGGTGAACCCGCGGGAAGAAATTATGATGTCCACTCGAGTCCAGAAGGCTGAATGATTTTGTTATTTTAACTATGCTATAATACGCTAATATACTATTTAAAGGAGATACTAAAACTACAAACCTAATTTTTCTAACTACCAAATCTAACTCTTCACAACTCGTGACCCTCTCTGAGAGTCCAGCCCCAGTGGGTTGGATTGGCCATCAGGCTCAAACAATCCTCAAACAATCCTCACCAGAATCCAACTGGTCACCCCAGGGAAACAATTCTCCAAACAAATTCCACGTGGGAAAAACAAGGAGCAGAAATAAAAATTTTCTCTTTCTTTCCTCTGTGCTCCTCTACGAAAAATCCCGAGAGAGAGAAGGATGTGCCTGCCACACCTGTGGGTCAGCATGAGTTTTCCAGACTCACAGAGCCACAGGAAAGGCAAAGAGGACAAAAGGAGGGACGCCCTTCCCATATCACTCCTGTGCAGATTAATTCCCTTTCCTACAGAAGAGCTAATTTTAGGTCACTCAGAGATTCACAGCGTGACTCCAGGGGAGTCACGAAATGAACACCTTGTTAGCCAGGCTAATTCCCAAGCTGTGATCAAAATTACAGGGTGATAAAAGTCACAAAGCCTTGGTGGCTTTTCTCTCGGTGCAGCCCCAGCACCGAGATCCTGTCAGCCAAAAGACACCGTGTTTAGTCACACAAAGAAGCTGCTAATGCAGCGCTGGAAGCCTGGAATTATGGCTCTCCATTCTCTTCCATTATCCTGTATTCATGGAATTCCCAGGGACCTTTCTCTGAAGGTATTAACTCCTGAAAAGGAGAACACGAACCACAGGCAGAATAAATGCAGCAGGCTGTTGTTGCCCAGGGGGAGAACGAGGAGCTCTGCACCACGTCTTGGAAAAGAGAACCTTCTCCAGGCTTGCAGCCAAGTCCCAGGGAAGCACCCAAGCCTGGGAGTAAGCCCTGATCCCATGGGAAAAGCCCCTGTGCCATCTCCAGCTCTTGTTCACAGGCACAGCCCCACTGGTGAACCCCATGGAGATCTGCAAAACAGACCTTTTTTCCTTTTTTCTCCTCTTTTCTCATTTTCCCCCATTCACTCCTGCTTCCACTGCTGCATCTTTTGGTGGAAAAGACAGAGGAGGAAGCTGTAGCTGCTCAGTTATGGACGTTCTTCCCTGTTTTCCATGGGGAAACGCTCCCAAGGCCTGCAAGGCACGTTCCAGGTGCTGAGGAGGTGCTGCACAAGGTGAGCCTTGGGACAGCCAGGTTTGCTGTGGTCTCCCAGGGCTCTGCCAAGTCCAAAGCACCAGGGAAGGGCCTCTGGAAGGGGCTGGGGTCCCTTTCTGCTGCACCTCCAAAAACTCGTGTGGGCAGATGGAAAGAGTGAGTGGCATCGACTCCAAATAACCAATCACCTTCATTTACCTGCCTGGTTTAAACACCCCAGAGAGAGTACCGAGTTAATTATATTGATTTATGCTCAGCACTCAATTTAAACTGCGCTGCTGACGCACTCGCAAGAAACCATTTACCAGGGCAAGGTGCTGCTGCAGGCTGGAGGTTTTCTCTGAGCCACACTGCTGTTATTCCCCACGGGGAGCTGGCTGGACACCCACGGCTCTGAGAGACCTTCATCCCGCAGGGAGGGAGGCTGCAGCTCTGAGAAATTCATCCTGCAGCTCTGTGAAACACTTATCCTGAAGTATGGGAATCCAGAGCTTCCCTCTGGCTGCCCTGGCAGGGGTCAGGAACCCCCCTGGACAGAGCCCCCAGAGACACTGGCTGTGATCTCTGTCCATGGAGAGGAGTTTTCAATCTTACAGGATGAATTACCAGCTCTGAGTGTTTGATAAGAGTAATAATTAAGTGTGACATGGGTGCAAAAGTAAAATTTTAGGATTCTAGATTAGGGGTCCAAAGGGGACAAGATGGAGGAAATTGGGTGTGCCTTGTCCTTTTCCTCCTTCTTCATGCCCTCCATGTTTCACTGTGGTGTTGGCATTTTTCTGTTGGTTCAGGCTGGGGACACACTGTCCAATGTAGGTGACAGATATTGGCACGTTATTGTAAATCCAGCACTGGTAGTTTGTGGTATTTAATGTTTGTACCATCCCACTGAGGGCAGAGCCCCACACGCTGCCCTGCAGGACAGAGCTGCGGCAGGGCAGCAGAACATGTTAGAGAGAAACAGAATAAACAACCTTGAAACAGCACAGACCAATTATGGCTTCTGCTTTGGCAGTGGGGCTGACAGACAGAGACTTTCTACAATCTCGGAATCATCAATAGCACAGATTCCGACACTGCAGCTCTGAGAAACTCTGATCCTGCAGCTCTGAGAAACTCTCATCCTGCAGCTCAGTGAAACTCTCATCCTGCCTGCAGGGAGGCTGCAGCTGGCTGGGGGTGAGCAAAGACTCAATTCTCCTGAGCAATGAGCAAAAGTGCAACAGCAAAGGCGAATTCATGTTGCTGTGGAGGTGTTTGTGAGCTTTAGCTGCTCTGAGGGGCTGGGCTTTACTCCTCTCCTCTCTGGACACCATGGGCATCCTTCCTGTCCCCAGGCTCCTACCCTGGCCCTGCTCTACCTGCTGGCACAGGAGGGGGCAGGAAAAAGGGCCATGGCCCAGAACCTCCCATGGCAAAGACAGATTTTCAAAGCCACCCAAAAGGAGTTGGTATTTTGAGCTTGGTTTTGATCCCTGCCCATTAACCAAGCATCCTGCCAGCACCTGGGAATTATTAAGGGATTTCATGGGGCTGGAAGGCAGAGAAGAAGGGATGGTTGCAGCGTGTGCCGGGCTGAGCCCAGCCTGTGGCGTGCCAAACCCCACCTCTGATCACCAAATCACCTCAAATCACCTCTGCTCTGCCCCTGCTCTCAGGAACGGCCCAGGGAGGTTCCTGCTCTGGGGCAGCTCACGCAGGCAGAGGACAGATCAATCCATCCCAGGACTACTTCTGCCTCTGCCTTACCTCGAAATGAGCTTAAAGCACCGCCTTGGGTACCTCAGCGCTGTCAGCCAACATTAATCGTCCCGTGGGATCCACAAAGAGCAAAAAGAAACCCAAGCCGGGGCTGAGAGAGGGGTCAGGCAGAGTGTGAAAAGCCAGAAATGCTCGGGAGCTCAGAAACAGCTCCTGTTTTGCTGTTTGGTGTGAGGAATAAGCACAGGGAAACAGAGACTGACCCTAACCCTGCCCCTAGAACATATCCCAGGGAAACACCAGGAACAGACAGCCTAAACACACAGTTTTCACAGCTGAAACCCCTGAGCTGGAAAGTTTTGGTGAAACTGAGGACAAAAAGAAGAAAGGAAAGGGAGGCACTTTTAACGATCTCTTCATAATGGTACTGACTGCTTATTTTTAAGCTTTAATAAGAGAAATATGGAAGCTGCGGGGCAGGAGTGGGGTGGCAGCAGCAGAGCAGCTGCAGCCAAGTCTGCGGAGCTCAGCGGTGCGCTGAGATATCTGTGAAGGAAACCTCCTCCATTATAAATGTGTCTGGTTATTTATTTACACAGCTCTGCAAACAGCTGCTCACAAAAGGCGTTAAACCTTGTCCTCCAGGCATGGAGGACAGCCTGGGAGGACAGCACGGAGGACAGGCAGAGGGCAGCTGCTGCATCCCTCAGCGGTGGCTCCGTGTCCCAGCCTGGGAAGCACAGCTTTGCTCCCCACACAGTGTTTCTAGGACTCTATTAAATACATATTTTCTACTCAAAAACGTCAGAGCTGAGCTTGGAATGCTGCATTGGTAACTCCTTGCTGTGCTTTTGTTGTGGTTTTTTCTTGCACTTCACCTTTACAGCTGTAATCCGTGCTCACAGGTAAATCCTAAGAGTTACATATCATTCAAATGTCTTCCCATAAAGAAAATAAATAGCTCAGAGACATCAATCACGATCCAAATCCATGGCACAGAGTACAAACCTGCTGGAACAGGGCACCAGCACCTCCTCTCCTCAGAGGGAATTCCCTCTGCCGGGCGAGGAAGGATCAAAATTGGGTATCAGGGAAGGAGGAAGGGAAAAGTGAACCAACGGGAGACAGAAACTTACCAGCGAAGAGCATCCTCCCGGTCAGCATCTCGGCCAGGATGCAGCCAGCCGCCCACATGTCGATGGCTTTGGTGTAGTTGTTGGGCGACAGGAGGAGGCGGGGGGAGCGGTACCACTTGGTCACCAGGCCTTCGGAGAGGTACCCCTGAAACGGCAGAGAGGGATCAGGAGGGGGAAAAGGCAGCAGAGAGGGATCAGGAGTGGGAAAAGGCAGCAGAGCTCCTCTGCCCTGAGCACAGAGGGATCAGGAGGGGGAAAAGGAAGGAGAGAGGTCCTCCATCCTGAGCACAGAGGGATCAGGAGGAGCAAAAGGCAGCAGAGCTCCTCTGCCCTGAGTACAGAGGGATCAGGAGGGGAAAAGGCAGCAGAGCTCCTCTGCCCTGAGCACAGAGGGATCAGGAGGGGGAAAAGCAGCAGAGCTCCTCTGCCCTGAGCAGAGAAGGATCGGGACAGGAATGGGCAGGTGAGGATGTTTGGGGCAGCTCCTGACCCCCAGATGTTGTGGGGCAGCTCCTCAGCCCCACTGTGCTGGCAGTGAGGATGCTGTGGGGCAGCTCCTGACCCCCAGATGCTGTGGGGCAGCCCTCACCCCACTGTGGTGGCAGTGAGGATGTTGTGGGGCAGCTCCTCACCCCCAGATGTTGTGGGGCTCCTCACCCCACTGTGCTGGCAGTGAGGATGTTTGGGGCAGCTCCTCAGCCCCACGGTGCTGGCAGTGAGAATGTTTGGGGCAGCTCCTCATCCCCAGATGTTGTGGGGCAGCCCCTCATCCCCAGATGCTGTGGGGCAGCTCCTCACCCCCCGATATTGTGGGGCAGCCCTCAGCCCCACGGTGCTGGCAGTGAGGATGTTTGGGGCAGCTCCTCACCCCCAGATGTTGTGGGGCAGCTCCTGACCCCCAGATGTTGTGGGGCAGCTCCTCACCCCACTGTGCTGGCAGTGACGATGTTTGGGGCAGCTCCTCACCCCCAGATGTTGTGGGGCAGCTCCTCACCCCACTGTGCTGGCAGTGAGGATGTTTGGAGCAGCTCCTCACCCCCAGATGCTGTGGGGCAGCTCCTGACCCCTAGATGTTATGGGGCAGCTCCTCACCCCACTGTGCTGGCAGTGAGGATGTTTGGGGCAGCTCCTCACCCCACTGTGCTGGCAGTGAGGATGTTTGGGGCAGCTCCTCACCCCCAGATGTTGTGGGGCAGCTCCTGACCCCACTGTGCTGGCACTGAGGATGCTGTGGGGCAGCTCCTCACCCCAGCCCCACTGTGCTGGCAGTGAGGATGGCGTTTGGGACACCTGACCTGCTTCCCCTGCTGCTCTCAGCAGCATCCGTGGGATGAAGGCCGTCCCCTCTCTGCAGCAGGGATCTCCTGCTCCTGAGCCCACCTGGATTTGTCACCAGAGCCAAGTGCTCCCAGCCCTGCTGGAGCCAGGGGACGTGTCCCAGCAGCCTGGGAATAACCCTGGGACCCCTCACTGCCACCCTGGGGTTGGGCATGGGTGGTTATTGCATCGGGGTAACACTGGAATATTCATAATCAGCCCTTTCTATATCAAATATAACACGTTAACAGAAGGAGGTAGATTGAAATGCGGCAGGAGCAGCAAAATAAAATTAAATCATAAAGCTGGATTGCATTTAAATGCCACAAAGCGTTTGGAGAATGTAAAAACGCAATGACGGCATGAACACAGTTCACGTAAAAGCTTATTTGAAAACTCCATCACTGCTGATTTAGTTCCACAGGCCGTTTCCAGCTGCACTACACCTGGAGTTGTGCTGCAGGGCATTTCCTGGGATGCTGTAGGATGCACCTCTCCACCTAAACACCACAAACACCACGAGGCTGATCACACTCCTCTTCCCCCAGCGCAGCTTTTTGTGCCAATTCCCAAATGTGCGAATCATCAAGCTTTTAATCATAAAGGGCTTGCTTTTAAAAGAACGTTTTAATTTTGGCCTTCTCACGATAAGTTGTAATGGAGACTGATTAGCTAAGAAGTTTCCTTTAATGGTGTTATATTTTTGCTAGTGCTGCTCAGTCAGAACCAGCACAAAAGCCCCCAGGCGTTATCCGATCAAACCACCACTTCTCAGCTGCTGCAGTTATTCCCAACAACGGAGACGCTGGAATTTATTGGAGAACCCCAGGAAAACAAACTCTGAGGGTAGTAATCCAGGGCAATTCTTGGCTGGAGCCATTTCTTCCCTCTCCCAGGGAAGGAGAGCCACCTCCTTACGGATTTAACACTGCTCCCCACCATGGAGGATCCCACCTCATGGACCCCACCATGGAGGATCCCACCTCGTGGACCCCACCATGGAGGATCCCACCCCATGGACCCCACCATGGAGGATCCCACCTCGTGGACCCCACCATGGAGGATCCCACCTCATGGACCCCACCATGGAGGACCCTACCCCATGGACCCCACCATGGAGGATCCCACCTCATGGACTCCACCATGGAGGATCCCACCCCATGGACCCCACCATGGAGGATCCCACCTCGTGGACCCCACCATGGAGGATCCCACCCCATGGACTCCACCATGGAGGATCCCACCCTGTAGACCCCACCATGGAGGATCCCACCCCATGGACTCCACCATGGAGGATCCCACCCTGTAGACCCCACCATGGAGGATCCCACCTCATGGACCCCACCATGGAGGACCCCACCTCGTGGACCCCACCATGGAGGATCCCACCTCATGGACCCCACCATGGAGGACCCCACCTCATGGACCCCACCATGGAGGATCCCACCTCATGGACCCCACCATGGAGGATCCCACCTCATGGACCCCACCATGGAGGACCCCACCTCGTGGACCCCACCATGGAGGATCCCACCCTGTGGACCCCACCATGGAGGATCCCACCCCGTGGACCCCACCATGGAGGACCCCACCTCATGGACCCCACCATGGAGGATCCCACCCCATGGATTACACCATGGAGGATCCCACCTCATGGACCCCACCATGGAGGATCCAACCCCTGGACCCCACCATGGAGGATCCCACCCCATGGACCCCACCATGGAGGATCCCACCTCGTGGACCCCACCATGGAGGATCCCACCCCATGGACTCCACCATGGAGGATCCCACCCTGTAGACCCCACCATGGAGGATCCCACCCCATGGACTCCACCATGGAGGATCCCACCCTGTAGACCCCACCATGGAGGATCCCACCTCATGGACCCCACCATGGAGGACCCCACCTCGTGGACCCCACCATGGAGGATCCCACCTCATGGACCCCACCATGGAGGACCCCACCTCATGGACCCCACCATGGAGGATCCCACCTCATGGACCCCACCATGGAGGATCCCACCTCATGGACCCCACCATGGAGGACCCCACCTCGTGGACCCCACCATGGAGGATCCCACCCTGTGGACCCCACCATGGAGGATCCCACCCCGTGGACCCCACCATGGAGGACCCCACCTCATGGACCCCACCATGGAGGATCCCACCCCATGGATTACACCATGGAGGATCCCGCCCCATGGACCCCACCATGGAGGATCCAACCTCATGGACCCCACCATGGAGGATCCCACCCCATGGATCCCACCATGGAGGACCCCACCTCATGGACCCCACCATGGAGGATCCCACCCCATGGACCCCACCATGGAGGACCCCACCTCATGGACCCCACCATGGAGGATCCCACCCCATGGACCCCACCATGGAGGATCCCACCTCATGGACCCCACCATGGAGGATTCCACCCCATGGACTCCACCATGGAGGATCCCACCCCATGGACCCCACCATGGAGGATCCCACCCCATGGACCCCACCATGGAGGATCCAACCTCATGGACCCCACCATGGAGGATCCAGCCTCATGGACCCCACCACAGAGGATCCAACCTTGTGGACCCCACCATGGAGGATCCCACCTCATGGACCCCACCATGGAGGATCCCACCCCATGGACCCCACCATGGAGGATCCCACCCCATGGACCCCACCATGGAGGACTCCACCTCATGGATCCCACCATGGAGGATCCCACCCTGTGGATCCCACCATGGAGGACTCCACCATGGAGGATCCCACCCCATGGACCCCACCATGGAGGATCCCACCTCGTGGATCCCACCATGGAGGATCCGACCCCATGGACCCCACCATGGAGGATCCAACCTTGTGGACCCCACCATGGAGGATCCAACCTTGTGGACCCCACCACTGCCTCCCGGGGCATTCCACACCGGGCTCTGCATTATCCCTGCCCTTCCTCGTGGGAGAACACCGGGAGGAGCGATTGGAGCTCTGAAAATTGAGACTTTTCTGATCCGGCTTGAGGTCCTCCCGTGGGCAGCGCAGCATCCCAGCCTCGAGTGGGTGACACAGCCCCGACACCTTCCCCCCACTAACAATGTGGGCTAGATCCCTATTTTTAGGGAACACCCGAGCTCCCGTGCTGCTGCCTGCAGGAATTAGCATTAGCTGTAGTCCTGTGGACTAACAGGTTCCAGGGAGAAATGCCACCACAGCTTTGGGAGAAATGCCACTGCAGTTTTGGGAGAAATGCAACCAGAGCTTTGGGAGAAATGCCACTGCAGTTTTGGGAGAAATGTCACTGCAGTTTTGGGAGAAATGCAACCAGAGCTTTGGGAGAAATGCCACTGCAGTTTTGGGAGAAATGCCACTGCAGTTTTGGGAGAAATGCCACTGCAGTTTTGGGAGAAATGCCACTGCAGTTTTGGGAGAAATGCCACTGCAGTTTTGGGAGAAATGTCACTGCAGTTTTGGGAGAAATGCCACTGCAGTTTTGGGAGAAAGGCCACTGCAGTTTTGGGAGAAATGCCACTGCAGCTTTGGGAGAAATGCCACTGCATCTTTGGGAGAAATGCCACTGCAGCTTTGGGAGAAATGCCACCGCAACTTTGGGAGAAATGCCACCGCAGCTTTGGGAGAAATGCCACCGCAGCTTTGGGAGAAATGCCACTGCAGCTTTGTGAGAAATGCCACTGCAGCTTTGGGAGAAATGCCACTGCAGCTTTGTGAGAAATGCCACTGCAGCTTTGGGAGAAATGCCACTGCAGCTTTGGGAGAAATGCCACTGCAGTTTTGGGAGAAATGCCACTGCAGTTTTGGGAGAAATGCCACCGCAAC